ACGCTCGTTTTCTTTTTCTTTTTTTCGGGCCATTGTGCCACGCTACATATGATGTTACAAATTAGTGAATGTGAAACCCAAATGTTAAGAGAATAAAGCAGCTGCTAAAGAATGCATTACCTGTATCTCTAATTTAGCACGCTTTTCAGCCTCAACCTCTTTACATCGGTCACTTGAATCACCATAAAGATTCCATGCTACCTTAAGCTCTTCATCCATGGATTTCTGAGAAAACAATCATTCCAAATTATATGAATTACAATTAAAAAAAAAAAAAAAAAAGATGAACATACAATGACAGATGCTGCTCAGCCTAGCAATTATGATCAAGGTGAAGAATTCATTGCAAACAATCAAGTTCCAAAAGGCTTCGGAAATGAATATTCAACTACCCAGTTCCCAAGAATCATAGGTTTCAAGGTCTTTCGGTTTCTAAATCTTGTGTGCTATAAATATGCCCTAAATCCTACTCCTAAGCTACACCTTTATCCACCTCGGGACTTGAACCCTCAATCATTTGAGGAGGGAGATCTTAAGAACAAACATGATTGATGATACCACTAGGCCAAAGACCCTTTGATGGAATTTAGTTTTCATAGAAACGAAACGATATTAAAGTTGGAGGTAATTAGGTGGAACTTACCATGAACTTTTTACAAAAAATGGTTTAACAAAACAGTTACTATTTAATGACATTACCTTCTTCTCATCCAAGTTACGCTCAAGATCTTTCAATCTTGAGTTTAGGCGACTTATATGATTTGAAGCAACATCATTGCTGAAAGGAGTTTTTGGAAGAGAACCCAGATTGTGTTGTCTGTAAAGCTCTTGGATTGTCGAGTCTCTCTCCTTCTTCAAGGACTCATAAATCTAAGGCAACACGAGCAATACCAATTAGTAACAATGCCCAAAATTGGAGGTTGGATATTGTAAAAAAAAAAAAAAATCAGTATCAGTGTAGGAGAAGAAGATACTTCAGCTTCCTTCTTAAGCTTGCCGACTTCCCCATTGTACTTATTGATTTGTTGCTGAGATATATTGCTTTTTGTCTCTATGTCCTTAATGTCCCTATTTGACTTCTTGATTTTATCTTGAAGAACTGCTATCCTTTCATTAAACTGGTCATTCCATTTCCTTAAATCTTCATCAGGGTCTATTAAATATTTACCACATAATTAGAACAAACAAAGAGAAAATATATAACTCGTAAAAGAGCCAATTAGGGCATATCCAACCCAACACCAAATCCCATTTTTTACACCACTTTACTCCAAACCCAACACCATTTGTTGAACCAAAATGGTGTTTCAAGTTTGATTTATTTCTAGTTACTTTTAATGGATACTTATATTTTAAATGCAATAATTGTTATTTGTAACATTATGGTATATATTAAACTGATATTAATTAATCACATATATTGAATTTAATCTTTATGTTTTAAATGTATTTAAAATTTTAAATACCTTTTACTATTTTATATGTAATATCTGTTACTTGTAATATTATGGTATATATTAGATGCTTTAATATAATCATATATAATAAATTTAAATTGTTACTTGTAAGGTTATGCTATATATCAAACAGATGCATGACTAATTTGTAAAAAGCTAATAAATACCCATAACACCATTTTTTGCATCAAAATCATGTACTATTGGGTGCAAACAGTGATTCCTCTCCAACCCATTTCTACACCAAAAAGAATATTCCTTTTTTTCTAACTTATATAGATTTTTATAGCTCCCCTTATATTTATTAGTTTTTTTATAACTTATATGTAATATCTGTTACTTGTAATATTATGTTAATAACTTAATATGTTCTGTATTTAACTTTTGTAATAATCATATATATTAAATTATTACTTGTAATGTCATGTTATATATTACACTGATGTAAGAAAAAAAAATGTTAGGAGCTAATAAATATAACAAGAATTATAGAATATATATATATATATATATATATATATATATATATAAGTTAAAAAAAGGAATATTCTTTTTGGTGTAAAAATGGTGTACTGGGTTAGAGATGAATAACTGTTTGCACTCAATATTACACGATTTTGGTGCAAAAATGGTGTGGTGATATGGGTTGGATATGGTCTTAGAGATTGCTGATATAATTAAGATGCTAAATTACAAACCATCATTCTCTTCTGCTAAATCTTCAAAACGCTGCTCTTGCTCCTTAAACAAAGCACTTCTTTCAGCAGTCTTGGTGGCAACCTGGTCTTCAAGCTTACGTTTTTCCTTCAGTATAGCTTCAGTTTGACGAATTTTGGCATCCACATCTTGAATATGTCTATCCAAGTCCTGCATTTTACTCCCCAGTCTTTCTGATTCTTCATGATCTTGAGTGATGCTTTGTCGAAGCTGTAAGAAGACCCCAAAATCTAAAGTTGTTGCATTGAATCGACTATCTTAAACATTAGAAGAAGAGATATGAACCTTGAGTGCAGCATCTTTCAAAATTTGAAGCTTCTCTAAATCCTTCTGAGAAAGCTTAATCTCTTGAGCTTGATCCTTGTGAAGCTTTTTAATTATCTCCAATGCCTTTGTATATCTTTACACGGAATTTACAACAGAAAGAGGTGTAAATCATTACTCAAGCTAACAGTTGTAGTAACAATGAAAACAAAGAGCCAAGTTAGAAACATGTAATTCAAAGGAAGTACCTTGTAGCTGAGAAAATGTCATCAAACTTCTTTTTCAAAGTCGAAGAATCTTGTAGTGGCCAATTGGCCTCATCTTGGTGTACAAATATGACATTTTCAAGGATGGCTTTAGAGACACCCATAAGAGCAGGAATTTCACGATCCATGTCTGCACAACGATAGCTAAGGCAAACTTTCTGCATTTACACAATAATAGAAGACTGTTTTGAGCATATAATAATCAACATGCATGCACCAGCTGTGGTTCATAACACCAAAATAAATTCTATTAGTAAGCCACATTGAGGAAGTTGCACAATACATTAGTAAATGACATGGTTGACTAAAATCTAGCAAATAAAGACCTTAAAACAGTTATGAAGATACACAGCTACAGTTCCAAGTGTTAAGGGGTCATTTAAAGTACCTCTCCAGTGTTAGGGTTTATTGTCTGCAAAACACTCTCAATTGCCTTGTACTCCATCTTTGAAGCCTTCTGAGTCAACTGGAACGATCTTATACACACCACGTCTTTACCTGCTGCAGTCTTGAAACGCAGCTTTATTTGGGCCTTCGTTTCTGTTTCCCCTGCAACCTACAACCACACATTTCATCCACTTAAAAACATTTCATAACCATTAACCACGCACACCTACATAACTATATAAGCATTTCAAGGCCCATTTAGCATAGCTTCAAACCATCTTCAGGCTATTCTCATTTCTCTTTTCAAACAAACAATGAATACAAAGTTTTCATGTTAAAAGGTTGTATATGATGCCTTTGCAAAGCTTTAGGTATGTTGGATTTGATTAAAAATTCGCTTGTTAGTCAATTTTGAAACCATCAGACAGCTTGAAAACCAGCTTACAAAAAAACATACATGAATCCAGTATTAATAAACATGTTTGTGTATGCATATAGACAAATAGAAAGAGAGAAACCTTGGGATCATGGATGAAACTCTGACCAGACCTAGCATTTGGTGGCAATTCACCGGTACAGGATAGCTTTAAGCACTCAATAATAGTCTGTAAACCAAACCAACATGTTATAAACGAACATCACCAACAAACACACTTCAGCATAAGAACACATAACTTCCGATGAACCCTACTTAGTAAATAACCAAAACACATCAACCGGTAGGTTAAATACAAAGAGTATGACGTATAAAGGTTCCAATTACTCTATCAACTAAGAACTAGACAAATTAAGCCAGTTCGAGAGGGGAAGATACGGAGGCGTTGAAGTAGAAGGAAATGTATTACAGTTTTTCCGGCGCCGTTAGCACCAACGATGAGCGTTAACGGCTTGTAGAAGGTGATGACGTTTCGGTTCTCCGGGTCGAAACTTCGGATGCCTTTTATCAACATCTTGTCCACCGTACTCATTTTGAAACCCTTCTTTTCGCTTTCCCTCTTTCTGATTGACTTACGGCTTCACTAGTAGAGATGAATCAACAGAGGATACTACACGAGCACATGATAGGGCATCCGAGTGTGTGATTCAATAGATTGAGTTCACTACGCCGGCGAAGAGTGATGGAGGTTGAAGGTGGTGGTAGGGTTTAGGAGTTCCGGTGAAGGAAGCGGGTGTTTGACTATTTTTAAAAAATTCTCGATTTTACTTATTTATAGTTGTAAGCAGTTGTTGGCTTGTTGTACATGATATTGGTCCGCGAGTTTTTTTTATTTATTACATTCAGAATTGTCTAACAAAAATAGTCGCACAATCTTACATTAGACAAAATTGCAAAAATGGTCCCTGTGTTTGGTAAAATTATGCGATTTTGGTCCAAAACGATAGTTTGATGCACCACTGGTCCAAAATTGGATTTTTCCATTGTTTTTGGTCCCTCCCATTCACTTCCGTCCATATACTCCGTTACATACAATAAAGACCGGGGTATTTTCGTCTTTCCACCTCCATATCATCGATTACCGCCATATTGAATGATATACACAGTTAATGACCCTTCACTCTACTCTACGCACTAAACCCAACTTGTTGATCGAAAACCCTAATTGTTCATTGAAATCTTGCATTTGATCATCAACCGCAATCGTAAGTTTTGAATCCACGAGGATGGTCCAAATGTGGGAAATCAGGCCAAGAAATCAGTGTTTTGATGCAATCCGAATTTACGGTAACGTACTCTGTTTCTTACATATTTCTTTGAAACAAAAAAAAATCTTTTACAATCCATATAAAGTAATGTTTTTTTGGTTTGGTTCATGATTTTTACAGAACCCTCCATCATGGAGGGAGGTTCACAAAATTCCCAGGGATAAGCTACATTGAAGGAAAATTAGACCACATTGACTTGGTAGACATGGATGAGTTCTCTGTGCATGAGTTGGACGAGGTGATGCTGAAGCTTGGTTATGATGTACCACCAGTCATTTACTACCACTATCAATTGCCAAATGGAGATTTGGAGTTTGGTCTTAGAGCTCTAGGGAATGATATTGATGTACTTAGTCTTGCACAGTACATTGAACATCATAAGATCATCAAGGTATACACTGAACATAATGAAACTAAGTTACTTACATACTTTATGTCTCCAAGAGTTAAACCTAGGGTTATAATTGAGGAAATATCAGATGATGTGCCCACTGCAACTGTTGGTGATCAAGATGTCCCAAATCTTGAATTGTGTTTAGTAAGATATGAGACACCCGAATACAATTCAAATAAGAGATTGAGGTTAGTTGATGGGAGTCAATCATGTAGTAAGAAATTGTGTTTCAACTTGGAACACGTTGGTGATCAAGATGCACATGTTGAAATTGGTAATGAAGGTGCAAATATTAGTGAGCAAGGTGCAACTGTTAGTGGTCAAGATACACATGTTGAAATTGGTAATGAAGGAGCAAATGTTAGTGATCAAGGTGCAGCTGTTGGTAATCAAGATACAGAAGTTCATGATCAAGGTGCAAATTTTGGTGACCAAGAAGTAAAAACAAGAGAGTTTGATACCTTTGATGACCAACCATTTCAATTTGAAGACTTTGATCCTTTCTTTGATCAATATACTTTTAATGATGGTAATGATCAGAGTATGGGTGTTGGTGCAGAACTTGGCACAGGACTAGGGGAAGTTCAATTTGAAAGTGAGGGAGTTTGTGAAGGACTTGGTGAAGGAGGTAGTGAAGGGGGTAGTGAAGGGGGTAATGAAGGGAGTGAGGAAGACAGTGATTTTCTTGAAGATGAAGAAAACTATGTAAGTGATATTGAGGTGGACATGAGTGATTTCTATATGAATGTTGATCTAGATGTTGAATATGTTGACAGAGGAAAAGGTGTTGAGACTGAAAATGAAGTTGTTGATACAGAAGATGTTGAAGATGTTGAAGTAATTGATAATGATGAATGGGACTCATTAGGTGAAGATAGTGATGATGAAAGAAGGAAAGCAATATTAAAACAGATGGTGAAGGAGAAGAAGTGCTCTCTTGGTGAAGTCCATACAGTTACTTTTCAAGTGGGTCAAAAGTATAAAAGTAAAAAGGAAATTAAGAACAAAGTCAACAAACTTGCCATTGAGACTAGAAGGAATCTTGGCTTCAAGAAAAACGACAAAACAAGGCTTAGGGTTGTGTGTAAAGGTAATGTACCTAATGTAAATGCAAGTGGGGTAGGTAAGGGCAATAAATTAAATTGTTCTTGGTCAATGCAGACTTCACGGTCAAAAGATAGTGATTATTGGTATGTGAAAACTTTACTGGACAAACATACTTGTGTTCAAACTAGAAAACTTAGGGCTTGCACTGCGAAGTATATATCTGCAGAAATCTTAGACATGGTCGAGTCTAACCCTACAGTACCCCTTCGAAGCATTCAAGAGCAAGTTCAGAAGAGGCTTCAAGTTGGTGTGTCCATACACAAAGTACAGAGAGCAAAAGCAACAGCTACAAAGCAAGTGAGTGGTGACTACACAAAGCAATACGAGGTGTTAAGAGATTATCTTATGGAACTACAAGCAACTAATGTGGGTACAACTGTGAAGCTTGAGGTTGTTAATGAGCCTAACAGTACTAGAGAAACAAGGCAGTTTAAAAGGGTGTATATTTGCTTAGGGGCATTAAAGAAAGGGTTTAAAGCAGGTTTAAGAGATATTCTGGGACTAGATGGTGCTTTTATGAAAGGACCCTTTCCAGGCCAAGTACTCACAGCAGTTGGATTGGATTCAAACAACGGCATATACCCACTTGCATATGCCATTGTTGAGACTGAAAATATGAGTAGCTGGAAATGGTTTCTAGAATGCTTGGGAGATGACTTAGAGTTGTGCTCAAATTCTAACTTTACTTTCATGAGTGATAGACAAAAGGTACTATTTTCTTCTTTTTGTATTACTAATAGTTTATTTGTATATGATTGTTGCAATGATTATGTGAAATAATCCTTTACAGGGACTCTTACCTGCTATAGCACAACTATACCCACAGGCTGAGCATCGATTCTGTCTAAGACATATTTATGAGAACATGAGGAAAAAATGGAAAACAAAAGAGTATAAAGATCACTTATGGCAGTGTGCAATAGCAACCACAGTACCAGAATTTGAACACTACATGAATGAACTTAACAAGTTTGATAAGGATGCTTTTGAGTGGTTGAAGAAAATCCCCCCTCACCATTGGGCCAGAAGCCACTTTTCAGGTTACATTCCCTAACTTAGGTGAAGCTTTACTAGTGCTCATTGTATATGGTTTAGTTCATATAATTTTCTTGTTTAATACAGGCAGAGCAGGATCAGATATATTGCTCAACAATTTATGTGAGGTTTTCAACAGTAAGCTTATTCATGGTAGGAATAAGCCCATCATAAGTTGTCTTGAGTACATCAGGCAGTACCTTATGAAGAGGATTTGCAATGTGAAGAAAGTGATGTCCAAAGCTCCAGGTCCACTCACTCCAACAGCATCAAAGTTACTTGAGAGAAATAGGGAAGCTTCAGTCCAATATAGAGCTAGATGGAATGGGACTGCAAAGTATGAAGTTTATGGTCCTTGGCATGACCAGCATGTGGTTGACATGAAAAATATGTCATGTACATGTAGAAGGTGGGAATTGAATGGGATTCCATGCAGGCATGCCATAGCTACAATACATGAAATGGCTGATAGTGGAGACAAAGTTGGGGAGCTTTACACTTATGTTAACAAAGTGTATTGGCTTCAAACATGGAATGAAGCTTACTCTTACACTGTGGACCCTATAAAGGGTAGAGCCATGTGGCCAAAAAGTACCTGTCCATTTCAATTAACACCACCACCACATCACAATCAACCTGGGAGACCTAACACCAAGAGAAAGAGAAGTGCAGATGAAAAATATGATAAACAGATGCAAAATCATGGTGCAGGTGAACCTGAAAAACTTACCAGAAAGTTTGTTAGTGTTAGGTGTGGGAAATGCAACAATAGGGGTCATAACTCAAGGACGTGCAAGGGTCAAGGTGGGAATGCAGGAAGAAATGAAGGAGGGAATGCAGGAAGCAGTCAAGGAGGGAATGCATGATGCAGTCAAGGAGGGAATGGAGGTAGCAGTCAATGCAGGAATTAGTGTATTTTGTTTAAAAACTTATCTTTTGGTTTAGCACAACTTTTGTGCATTTGGATGTAATGGTTTAAAACTAGTTTGTTGTAATGGTTTTATTTTGGTCTTTTAGCCCTTTTGGTCATGAAACTAATGTCAACCTTTTGTCATTGTTGAAGAATGATGTTTATGGTTTATACCAACTGTTGGTTGTCATGTTTATGGAACACATTTTTGGTTATAAGAACTGTTTTCTGAAACAACAAATATACATTAACATTCGGTGATAACTGCAATACATTGTCATTATATCCTTGAAAAGGTTACAAATTTCTGAAGTTGTCCAAAATAACCCTAAACTGATATTACATTATCAAATACCAAAAACTACCACATTCCCTAGTTACAATTTCATAAGACAAAAAACACCCAAAAATTACATGCAACTACAGGGGTCCCTAATTGCTTATTACTAAATGAAAAGCACCCAAACCACCACAAATAGTAACCAACTTGCAAACAAACACATCTTCAATCTTGCCACTTGATAGTTTACATTGTTGATATTCCTCAATAATCCGGGTATTATCAACATAGATCGTGCACACATGGGAGGATCAATCCATCCTAAGAATCGGCATCTGGAACCCTTCACATAAAAAAATAAACCCTAAACATGAGGGTGATTTTCCAAAATGAGGGTAAAATAGCAAAATAGAACACTTACCTTTTGAGGGCAGGAAAGAAACCTCCGACCAGGGTTTGCTGATGTCCAGGAGGTGCGAACCACCGCTTCCCTACCACAAAAACACATCACCATTTTAATTTTTGATCTCTAAGAAATTGTGAACACAGAGTAGGAAGAGTATGAAGCTCGTGAAGTTGAAGAAGGAAGAGTGATGTAGCTCTGCTTTTATTTTGAATAAGGTTGCAAAAAAGGTCCCTGTATGTGGAAAGACGAAAATACCCCGGTCTTTATTGCATGTAACGGAGTATATGGACGGAAGTGAATGGGAGGGACCAAAAACAATGGAAAAATCCAATTTTGGACCAGTGGTGCATCAAACTATCGTTTTGGACCAAAGTCGCATAATTTTGCCAAACACAGGGACCATTTTTGCAATTTACTCCTTACATTAGGAATCACCAATATCGTAATTTGTTAGTTGTAAATTTCATAATATTGAAAAATATGGTCTTCGATATTTATAGGGGCGTTTTGCAACTTCTTTAATGCTTTAAATAATAATGACCAAATTAAACTGTACAAATCTTGGGTGGATTGTGAAGACTTTGGTGATATGGTCTAGGAATGGTGGGCTGAATCCAACATAGAGCACAGTATGAGTGGTTTTTGGCAATTTGTGAAGTTCAAGAATAAGCTTAAAATATTAAAGGGATAATGACTTGAAAGGGTAACGAACTTTCGATTTTTATCACATTTAGTCACTAAACTTTTTTTCGTTATCTATTTGTCATTGAACTATTGAAACTGTTCACATTTTACCCTTATGACCGGCTGTTACCGGTCATAAGGGTAAAATGTGAACAGTTTCAATAGTTTAGTGGCAAATAGATAATGAAAAAAAGTTTAGTGACTAAATGTGAACAAAACCGAAAGTTCATTTCCCTCTAAAAAGTTCAATGACTAAATGTGAACAAACTTCCTATTGTATTATGTTTTAGCAAAATTATTTATTTTTGTTTAATCGTAGCAACATTTGTTGATGAAGAAATCTATGAAATAAAAAAACAAAATGTAACATCCGGATTTCCAGGTATCATCATTTAAGTATTTTTCTTTTGAGTTAAGAAGAGAGACTCGACGAGTTGACGCCTCAACTCGTCGAGTAAGGTCGCGACTGATGACTCGGATTAATGAATGGACTCGACGAGTTCGCGCTGTTGGTAGAAACCCTAAATCTTTGGGCTCGAGCCATATTTAAAGGCATTTATGGCCTTCAATTGCGACTACCTTTCCCATAAGTGAGAACCCTAGCGAACTTGAGTGTGTAAAGTGAGAGGAAGAGCTATCTTGAGCTTTTTGGTGTGATAGATCTGGACCCTTCTAGGTTCAGAGAGCCGAGAATATGAAGCTTTAGTAGAGTAAACCTTGGGGTTCAAAATTAGGAAGCATTTATGGTATATATAGTTACTTTCATCTTACACATAGATATGAAGTATTTTATATAAATTACGTGCTACGTGTGTATATTATTTGAATACTTGCTGTCTATACTGGATGAACGATTGTATACATGTTTTAAAAGATTTAAACGGTATATTTATTTTATATCTACAAATATGTTGCAGATGAAACATGGGTAGATGAAATAGTTGGTGTGTGATGAACTAAAATGATGAGAGATAGGTGATGATAGAAAGGTGGTGATAATTAGGTAAATAGATGATGATGAATATGTGATGTAGGATGAAAGGAGATACCATAACCTTTACCAGCAATGTGGCGATGTAGTCATCTACCAGAGTATAGATGGCGACCACGGACTATTCTAGACAACCCAGTGGAAACACCAGCAGACCCATAACCTGTAGGTGATGAATTACGAGTTCATGCGATGTTGTAACTACGTATTCATGTGGTGATACTCTAACCCCTTACTATGAATTACGATTTCAGACGATGTTGTAACTACATATTTGATGGGTTTTGTTCCTAAGAACATCCTATGAGCTCATACAAACCCAAAAGCTTGGATCTAGGTTTCTCTATTGTACATGCAAGTTATCCAAGACTATGAACGCTAATTCTAGCATTCAAATAATCATATTAGCCATAAGAATAAGTTTATAATGTTACCTTGATTGTTATGTAGCAATAACAATCCCAAATCTCCTTGTATTGACTTTAGAAAGCTTAGAGTCACAAATGTCACTCCTCTAATGGTTCACAAACACCATAAGCAAGAGGATGAAGATGAGAGAGGTTGGAGGCTGCCCAAAAAACATGTGAAACCCTAGAAAGATCATTAGCCACGTTTTTAGGTCATAAGGGTCTTATATATAGTAAGGCTATTAGGGTTATCTAACAAGAAAACCCTAATTTGGAGGCTTAAGCCCTAAGCAACCCATGGAGCCTTTTCTTTAAGCCTTGGACGATTTCATATGGGCTTCCCCCATAGAATTCGTCCACCTTATAATATAAGGCAATCCATGGCCCAAATTATAATTATCTTATAATTACAATTCCAGTCCCTTAAGTTTAATTAATATTTTTTAGCCACAAAATTAATTACCAATTAATTATTGACTAATATTAATTAAACAATATGATTTCTCCTTTAATATATTATTCCCATAATATATTAATAAATCATATTTAATCCTTTCTCTCCATAATTCATCCTATCAAGTTGCTTTGGTGATGGCAACCCAAAAGGACCATGCACCATCGGGTCAAGTACATACCAAAATAGTTATGGACTTAGACACTAATCCAACAATATTCATGGGATGTCACAAATTTCGCATGCCGAACCAATGGTCATAATTCACATCAGTGAGAATGGTTCATTTTTTTGTAAAACCAAAATCATATTGGAAATTTTGATTTTTTATTTCGGAAAATGTCAAACCATTGGTTTTTTATTTCGGTTTTGGTTTTTTGTTTTTTTTTAAATATATTTTCAAGGTTTTGTTTTGTTTTTTTTTATTTCATAGATTTCTTCATCAACAAATGTTGCTACAATTTAACAAAAATAAATAATATGCTAAAACATAATACAAGAGGAGGTTTGTTCACATTTAGTTATTTTATTTTAGAGGGAAACGAACTTTCGATTTTGTTCATATTTAGTCACTAAACTTTTTTTCGTTATCTGTTTGCCATTGAACTATTGAAACTGTTCACATTTTACCCTTATGACCGGCAACATCCGGTCATAAGGGTAAAATGTGAACAGTTTCAATAGTTCAATGGCAAATAGATAACGAAAAAATGTTTAGTGACTAAATGTGACAAAGGTCGAAAGTTTGTTACCCTTTCAAGTCATAATCCCAATTAAAGGAAACTAGAAAGGATTGGAGAAAATGGTGCAAAAGTGTCCATGGTGGGTGGGTGTAAGAGAAAAAACAATTACAAGGTTCATGATTGATAATGGGCTTTGTTATTATAACTCTCCATTGGGGAAAAGATATTTAGAAAAAGGAATCCAAGATATAGAAATTAGTGACATTCCTTTTATAAATAAATGTTTTGTAAGTTTGATGGTGTTCGGATTACGACTACAAGGCCTAGTCATCGGTTCCAAACTTAGTCGATTGCGCAACACAATATATGTTTGATTCAAGTTTTCTTTCACGTTAATTAAAAGATACTACCTCGAGCCCTATATTGTTCTGATGATGAACGAACTTGGTGAGACGAAGTATTATTTTATCGATAGGTTTAATGTATCGTTCATCACCATGATTATAGAAGTTGATGATCCTAGATTTATTAAAGACTTCAAATTGATTGGTTAATCGGATTTTAATATAACATTATTGTGAAATTGTTGGCTATTGTGGCTGATAACATTGTAGCTGGTGGAGCATAATACGACCTTTATAAATGGACATTAAAATTTGGATGGTATGTAAATTGTGAATAGAGTCATTACGTAAACTTTTCAGAATAGTCTATAATAATTATTTTATCAAATCTAGCCACTTTGTAAAATGGAAAAATGTTGTTATAGCACAATAAAATCTTGTAATTTGTTCGATATGGTCACTAATTTTTTTCCACAATAGATCACTAAAGTGTTGGTTTACCTCTCAAATAGAGGAAAGATCAAAATTCATCCCAACTTCATGGTTACACTTAGTTTATATGGTTTTCTTTAAATTAAAGAGTAGTAATTGATCTACAAGGCTTTTTCCCAAGTGTCAAAGAAGAAGAATAATGTCCTCGTGTTTAAATTAAAGAGTAGTAATTGATCTACAAGGCTTTTTCCCAAGTATCAAAGAAGAAGAATAATGTCCTCGTGCACAAGCTATAATAAGAGACATGGAAATTAAGATATTCTAAAATCAGGTTTCACTTTACATAACTCAACAAAAAATAAATAAAAAGACAATACGAAAGCTTTGAGTTCTCCTAGGTATTTCATCGAACGGGTGGCAGGTCCCATGAAAAAGTCTAGCAAAAATATGAGAGGTGATGATGGGCAAGAC